TTAAAAAATATTAAAACTGCATGCCAGAAGCTCGATTAAAAGTGGACCTGGCAAATATATGTGTTATATTTGATAATATTTTAATGAATTAGACAGGTCTACAAAATTTAACCAATTTTTTAAATAGACAATATTGTTAAAATCAGATGAGCAATTGTGCTCAGGCACTAATTAAGCCCGCCTGAGCTACTAAGGAGTCGTCCATAAATCTCGTGGCGCTAAAAAGGGTCAAAATTTCCCGTGTGACCGAATGTGACCATGGTCATGCATGTAAGGACACCCCGAAGGGTCATGAGACGAATTATCGAACCTCCCTACCCTCCAAAACATTTTTACCTGATACCAAAATACTTTTTTCAATTTTTTCCCTTTCAAAAATGGTCCATTTAAAAAAAAAATATTGTCATATTAAATAAATACTATGTGACACTAAAAAATGATGTTCCATTATAAATAAATAAATTCAAATTTCTTTCCTTGCACACATAATATTTTGCTTAAATTGAGAATGTAGCAACAATGGACTGAGATGATGCGATTGGTCCCTCCTTGCAGACTTTCTGTGACCGTCCTGGTAGCCTTTTCTGTACAAGCTATGTTAGGGTTAATCCAAACACAGGAAAATCATGGTTAAAGCCTTTCCCAACGTATACAATTTTTTGTTAAACTTAAAAAATTATTGTAATGCCTAATTTTTTTGTAGGCTTTTGGAATAACATTGGCATTGGTTTGCGAAAAAACCACCATAGAAGCTAAAAGAACATCTACCATTTGCTATAAGTTGCTCTTAAAATGTCCTTACTTACCAAGTAGCAAGGAAGAAAAAAATACCAAAGAGGAATTGCTTGTTTTGGCCCAACATGTGGGCCGAAGGAATTTGAGTTTTTCAGCTGCTGGATTTTTTAATGTTGATTACACTATTCTGTATATGATTTTTGGTTCGGTAGCAGGTTATTTGAGCATTTTACTGCAATTTAAATAAAGTGAATCCGATTCTGCTAAGAATAGTTGTTTAGTAAATGTAAAGCCTCAAATAAAATTGTATTACACATACTGTCTATTCATGCAAAATCTGAAAAAATAACTTAAATGAGACCGTTCGTGATAACCTAGATACCTAAGTTAATTTTTGCCAAAATGAGAGTACCTACCTAAACTGGGCAACCGATATTAAATTGAACGCATTGATGAAAAAAATCATAAAAACTCGATTCACAATAAAGATAAAATAATTCTGTCCTGAAAATCTCCTTTAGTGAAAAATAATTGAGAACATTAAAAAACTTAATTCATCTTTATAACTAATATTAACATTATAATAATTATAATTATTATATTATTATATTATGTATAATATGTTTTTTTATTCAATTTTCTTAGTTTCTTCAAGAAATTTCTTGACCCACTACTGGTAATAATCATAAAAAAATAATTGGACCTTCACCTCGCCAGAGTTTTAGTTTTTAGTGCTAAAACTCTGGCGAGGTGAAGGTCCAATTCTTTCTTATTATGTATAAGGCAGGTTTAAATAAATTGCAATATTTTGACTTTTCGTTTTTTAATTTTGGTATATGTACCATTCCTCAGGAATAAAAAATACAAGCTTTCATCATTATTTGTTAAAAAACTATTGGAGATATGAGTTATGAAGGTCATCCTTTGGAACATCATGATGTTCCAAAGGATGACCTTCATAACTCATATGGATCGCGTTACGGGTAGATCGCGTTACTTGCCTGAAGGCCTTGTAATGTAGGGGTAACCCATAATAATAGAAATGGCAGTAGTCTAGGGCGATTTAAAGAATCGCGCGAACTTTATTTATATCTTGACAACACAAGCAGTGTTATTACGTTTGGCTAAAAGGGGTGATCGTTTAGTAAGTTCGCTTCTAGATAGGTGGAGTGCCAATAAGAGAAAATTAATAAAACATAATGGTTGTATGTTTTCTCTTTTTATTGTTTTAGTTACAATGTAGTTTTTACAAAGGGTTTGTCCCTTTCGCAAGCAAGCGTTAGAAACGTAATACAAAATTAACCCAACCACCTTGCAAACACAAAGGACGCGTAAATTTTTTTTGTAACATATCACAAAAATACAGGATAAATCTACCTTAATAAACTTGGTCAAAAAATACAACAACATTAGTTAACTAACTAATTTAAAGGATATAAAATTAATTAACTTACTAACAGGCGTAACGACCTGCCGCTTTACCTATTGAATCTCTAATGAAGCTAGATCTAGGGATGGTCAAAACTAACCGGTTATTTGATGACCGGTTATTTTATAACCGGTTATTTTGCTATAGGTTAACCGGTTAATACAGAGCCGTGCGGTAGATTTTTTCAGCATGATGCAAGTTATTGAAATGCCGCCCTTAACGGCCGCCATTGAAATGATTTCTCTTTAATAACCTTCGATTGAGATTTACAAAAAAATTATGAAAACTATTTTTATTTTGAAAAAAAACTACCTCTAACAATAATATCAAATGTCATCTAAAAGAGCACTTTACTATAATTTTATCCTTCTAACTTTTATTTTAGTAAATAGTTAATTAAAAATATGTAATCTAGAGTGGCAGCTAATGTAGATTTAATAGATATTAATGATATATTTCTAAGTTTTGTTTGGCTTATTGAATTTCTTGGGTAGTTTTTCATCAGTTTTAATTTTAAAAAACTTCTTTTCCCACTATACTGCCCAACTTTGGAGAAAGGCAATAACTGCTTAACAAGAATTCTGTGAAAAATTGGCATAAACTAAATTTTTATAAAAAGCAGTAGATATTTAATTGATTTATTTAACTTATGAGATAGTTTACTGCAGTTGAATTAAGATACAATATGTCCAATGGACATTGTCCATACCACAAGAAAACGCATTAAGAATTTTTTTGTAGTTACTGCCTTTCTCCATAACTACACTAAAAAATAACTAATTATAAGTCATATTTGACTAATTGTCATAGCGAAAAAGCAGTCACTAATTATTAGTCAAATTCTACAGGATGAAATAGTCAAATTAGTAGATTTAACTTTAAAAAAGTTCCGACTCAGCCGGGGTTTGAACTCGGGTCTGCCGCTTGTCAAGCTTATCAAGCTGATGACATAACCATTGTGCTATCAGTCACTTATATAAAATCAATATTGTTAATAATATTTTAATGTTGAATATATTTTTGTGATGCTGTTTTAAGCTAAACTTTTTGCATCTTTGTTTGTTTTTATGGGCCATTTGACCATGGAGCCGATATGTATGCATTTAACTCAAACAATTTGTTGTTGGCCGCAAAACGATTAAAGAAATTAGTTACTTTTAACTCTCAGAAATAGTCAAAGATGGTGACTTATCTTAAATTAGTCAAACTTTAACTATTTAAGTAATAAAAATAACTATTTAAAAGTGAAAACGACTATTTTATTAGTTAAAAATGCTGGTACTAATTGAAATAGTAGAATTTTGACTATTTCATTTTAAGATAGCGTTTTGTCGTCTATATCTTTCAGTTTAAAAATATCATATAATAACTCAAAGGTTTTACTAGGGGTTTCCAAAACCGTGATTCATTTATTCAGAGAATTAATGGTAATGTCCAGAATATAATTAAAAAATATTATTTTAAATTTTTCCCCCCTGTTAAGGGTTCATTTACGGCTTTTTCATAATCAAATTGGCGCTTTTTCTTTCTGGATCTATCTTTAGTTTCGACAGAAAAATCTGTACTACGTAGTACACAAAATAAAAATATATATATATATATTTTTTTCACAAAATAAAAATATATATATATATTTTTTTTTTCAGTACATTATTTATTTTATTTTAAATTTATTGGCATATAAAAGTTTTCCCCTGTAGGTTCTTGACCAACAAATTAGTATCAATAGAAAACCCAGATTCTATAGTACAGTATACTGTAATATTATTGTAATATATTAGTCCAATTGTATTCGGATTTAAAGCAGTCTGCTTTTACTATAATGAAATATGGGAAATTTTAAACTAACTAGCTAAGGCTTTAATAAATATTTGTCACTCTCTAAGAAAACGTAACTTAACACTCAAAAAAGATTTTCCAAGATCGCAAAAAATATTTTTTCGTTAAATTCCCTGTTTTTCAGGTGAGTGGAAACTGTGTCAAGTTTGATAAACGCCATTTTAATCACGAATTTTAATTAGGCGAGCTTGCGAATGAGTGTCTAGACAAATTTATAAACGAGTTGCAGTTGCAGTTTTTCTACGACAATTACTTTTTATTATCTAAAAATGATTTAAATTAAATATTTCTATAGTTTGACATCATATTCTGTAAAACAATTCTGACAAAGAAGCAGTTTTTTACACTAAAAGTGAAGATAATGTTCTATGAAAACTCCACGGTAAAGTCTCCACTCGAATTTTTTAATGGTTAATCAGTTAAATCTCGTTTACTGCCGGCGGAATAAAAGGTTACTGACCAAAGTACATTTAAACTTTTTAAATATTGGTGTTATGAAACTACGTATTTAATACTTTTGTATTTTTGTATTGAGATTATAAAATAATTTTCACATTTAGTATAATTTTACAAGAAAGGAACTTTGTTTTAACGATTGTATGATATTTCACAACTGTCAACTAACTTAAAACAACTTCAGCCCGTGACTAAAACGCCATAAAGCTACATATTATCAATGTTTTGGTCACTTGGTGACCAAAGTGTCCACTTATTTTAATGGAAACATATGCAATAATGGCCGTTTTGAAGGTGGGAGTAGAAAAAAAGTTAATCAAATTGCAGAGACTAAATAAAATAATAATTATAATTATAATTTTATTAATAAATTATTTCGTGCTGCTTATTCGGGACACCCTCTATAGTGTTTAAACATCTGTAATAAATTTACAAAAAAATTATTTATTTATTTATTTATTATGCCTAATTTATGTATTATTTAATTATTAATTTTTCGTATAAAATTTGCAGTATTTTTAATGGTATTTAATTAAGGTAAGAGATAAGAAATTGTTATCTTTTGTAAATAAATATTTTTAATTATAAACACAATTGTATTTTTACCCCAGTTAAATTGGATAATCTTAACATGACGTTATATTATAATACGATTAGCTAAATATTGTGCGAGTAATATTGAACCGGCAAAAAAACTGAAAAAACAACATTTTACAACGTACGTTATTGTGAGAAGTGTTAAATAAAATGGATGAATTATGTTGCGAATCAATAATTGACTTTAATTTTTTTGAAGTTGCCCATAAGAATAGTTTCGCAGTTTTATTAATAGCATTAGAACATCACGAACTTTACAATTTTGATCTTAATTCCACGGATGAATGGGGAAATACAATTTTGCATATTTGTGCAACAAAAGGTAAGAAAAAATTAAACATTTTAAAAATATTGTTAGTTTCGAATTTTGAAATTTAAATACCCACCACAAAAAACATTAAACAACGTTAAATATTTTGAAATAAAACCTTTAAAATTAAATATTCATTAAATCAAAATTCATTTTAAGAACATTTTATTCATTTAAAATTAACACTAAAACATGTTTTACATTACTAAAAAAACAGCAGTTCTATGCAAAGTTGTATATTTAATGAATTTTTTAGGAATATTTAATAGCCCATCCAAAGCTAATATAAATGGTTTAAACAAAATAACAAAAAAACCTATAGATTTGGAGCATAAGAACATATGCACAAAAATAATTAATATTTTGGTGGGGAAAGGAGCTTCTATAAACAAACCAAATCTCTATGGAGAAACTCCTATATTTTCAGCAGTTAGATCAAAAAATATTAATCTAGTGAAATTCTTTCATGAAAATGGTGCCTACTTAACTTATTGCAACAAGAATAATGAAACCCTTCTTCATATATCAGAAGATTTATCCATAACAAAATATTTGGTTAAAAATGGTCTTGATGTAAACAAAGAAGCACAGTGTTTCATCACAGCCTTACAAGCCCGTGTTTATCAAAATAACGTGGAAATCTCGAGATATTTAATAGATAATGGAGCAAATATAAACGTCTTGGATACGCATAAACGAAACTTACTTCACATCGCCATAATGTTAAACTTCTACGAAATTGCAGAACTTTTAGTAGAGAAAAAAATTAACTTGAACGCTTTGAATGAATATCATTACACTCCGTTGCATTACGCAGTGGAAATATTAAGGGAAAAGTTTGTTTATCTTCTTTTAATCAATGGCGCAGACGTTAATATTTCCGATTTGGACGACTATACTCCTTTACATGCTGCTGCTGCAAGAGCTGGCCCTAATTTGATAAAATTGCTTCTAAAATACAAGCCAAGAGAGCATAAGACAATCCATGGGGACTTGCCTGTTCACATAGCTGCAAGATATTTAAATTTACATGCACTTTTATTGTTACTAAATAAGGAAAATATGACTGCCCTCAATAAAGAATATAAGACACCTTTGCAATTGGCATGTGATGAAGATAAAGATATGAAAAAATGGTTTATTCACCATGGTTTTTTTAAGGATCGTTCTACTTAATTGTGTTAATTTATTTATGTAAACTTTTAAAATAAAAATATTTATTGTAAACAATATCTGCTTTCAATAACAGACGTCGTCCATGCCACTGTGCTTTCGAACCACATCAGTGGCCATATGGTGTGGAGCAAACTTTAAAACACAAAACAACGACCGTTTTATTTAAATTTAAATTGTTTCAAATAAATCCAGGTTTGGCTTTCATGGGTACAATGTACAATGTTTGTAAATTTTGTTATTTTTGAAATAAATAAATAAATGTGTATTAATAAACATTTATTAATTTATTTTAAATAAGCCCATGTTCTTATACACAATATTGTATTTAATGTAACTTTAATTTCTGTTCAATTACTCACATGTAAGTAATTGTTTGTAACATAAACAGACACATATGTATTTAAGTAGTTATTAGTTTGTCAATATCCTATGAACTACACCTCGTATTTAAAAGGATCGCGTCTGTACATTTCTTTTATGCAACCAACTGTAAAAATTTGTGGGGCTGGATAATTCTGAATTAAATTAAATTTTGATTTAATCTAAAATAAATTTGCTACTTACTAAAAATCAATTCTGTGGGTAAAAGGCATAAGGGGATAAGTCAAAATAAGCAATTTTTCGTTAAAGACTTAAACGTGTTTGCATTAATTCAAGACATTTATTTATGGTTAGCAAGTATACCCTTTTGCTCGCATATGAGATGTGCTGGCAAAAGGGTATACCCGCTAACCATAAATGTATTTCCTAAATTAATGCGAACACGTTTAAGGCACTGCTAAAAAATTGATTTTTTTTTACTTATCCCCTTATGCCTTTTACCCACAGAATTGATTTTTAGTAAGTAGCAAATTTATTTTAGATTAAATCAAAATTTAATGTAATTCAGAATTATCCAGCCCCACAAATTTTTACAGTTGGTTGCATAAAAGAAATGTACAGACGCGACGACATGACGTCATTGACGATATGTCCGCCTAGGCGGAGCGATCCTTTTCGCGGTTGTTCTATATTAAAAACAAGTACCTATTAGTGCTGAACATTAGATCCGGATCCTTTTTCAATACGGATCAGATCCGGATCTGATCCGGATTTTTCAACGTGCATAATCCGGTTCCGGATCTATCCAGATATAATACTCCGATTTTAGATTCGGAGCAAAGATCCGAAATATGGATCCAAGATCCGAGATCCGAATACTGGATCTTTGTAGTGCTAAACATCAGATCCGGATCTTCTTTAATCCGGATCAGATCCGGAGCAAAGATCCGAAATCCGAATACACAACTGCTTAAAAGAGTTTTTTCTCAACAATATGCTTATAATTAATAATAATAATATAATTTATAATATCATTTATTAGTTAATTCTAAGTCTATTTTCTCCATACAAAAATATTTGGCCGCTTCTCTTTTAACAAAAACTACGTCGATTGTTCACCAAGACAAACTTAAGATGTCATAATAAGGAAATTCTTAATTGCGAAATAAAGTTAATAATTTATCCGGTATCCGATATCGGATCTTAGATCCGGATCTCAGATCTGGATCCGATATCCGGATATCGGATCTTAGATTCGGATCTCAGATCTGGATCCGATATCCGGATATTGGATCTTAGATCCGGATATCGGATCTTAGATCCATATTTCGGATCTTTGCTCCGAATCTAAAATCGGAGTATTATATCTGGATAGATCCGGAACCGGATTATGCACGTTGAAAAATCCGGATCAGATCCGGATCTGATCCGTATTGAAAAAGGATCCGGATCTAATGTTCAGCACTAATAGGTACTTGTTTTTAATATAGGACAACCGCGAAAAGGATCGCTCCGCCTAGGCGGACATATCGTCAATGACGTCATGTCGTCGCGTCTGTACATTTCTTTTATGCAACCAACTGTAAGCTGTTGGCAAACAAAAAAAAATTTTAGGGTATCATTTTTTTGCATTTACTTTTTTTTATAATTTAATAAATAATAAATGTATGTATAGCTTTTTATGTACAGGCAACCGTTCTTCAACATCTTTTAAAAGGTTTCTATTTTAAAATAAAGGCAAGGCATTTGAAATAATTGTAACGCTAATAATTATTTCTAATTTGCTATTAATATAACCTATGATAATAACACGCAGAGCACAGAACAATATGCGCAGACTGCCCCGCAAACAACTCATAGCGGAAAGGTACGGGCAGAAACAATTCGTATGAGTTCTCGGCCTCGTTGGAACAGGAGGGTATTCAGGAAAATTGTAACTTAATAAATTATAAACAATTAAATAATAAAATTATTTATTTATTTAATTTGATGCCTCAATTTTTGTAACATGTGGGTAATATGTTTTTTGCTTACACATGTCGAAGCCAATCGCACCCCCACCCTAGCCGGAGGCTCCGTATAATTGATACGGCTGATACCGCGGCAGCTACGCCCCTGATGTCAAATGAAAGTTTGAATTATTTGTTAATTCTAAATAATAATACTAAAGAACTAAAATGTGACAATCAAATAAAAGAAAAAAGTAGAAGGGTCTTTAATAGTAATTTACGTTACAAGGCCGGGAAATGGCTTATTAAAGTACGAGTCTAGATGTTTTCGGACGAGGCGACGAAGGAGCCGAGTCTGGAATTTCTAGACAAGTACTTTAATGACATTTCACGGCCGTGTATCGTACAATGTTTTATTTCATACTGTTCAATATTTTTATCAAATTTTTGGTAATTGAACTGTATATTCAGGTGAAGGTGTCAGTAATGTGTCAGTACATGATGGTATCAGTATTGTCTAAACAAACTATAAAATGTAGCACCAGTAACATAGGATGATAATGTAGTATGCTTTGAATCGGTTGCTAACAGTAACAAAGAGTTTTTTTATTGATTGCAATGTCTTGTTTGTCAATTCAGCATCGTTTTGAATAATTTCAAATAAAATGGATGCAGAGATTTTGAAAAAAAGCTCTGAAGCGACGGCGAAATTTAACTTATTTAACTTATCCCGGTCAAGTCTTCCGGACGATATCAAAAGGAATACGAGATATTCTGTGAATGGCGCAAAACTTATAATGTGTTGTTAAAATATACCAGTCCGGTAAAGTTACTTTACCGGCCTAGTGATGTAATGTATCATTTTCCGGACTCAAATGAGTCCGGGAAATGGCACATTAAAGTACAGTATGAAATAAATGTTTTTAATGCATTAAAAATACACAAATTGTTCCGGTAAGAGCGTACAACGTATGCCACTTCGCCTATTATGGGGTATATTCCTAATATGAGGTAGGCATGTATCTTTGCAACCAAACTAGATACATTCATGTTTTATTGGACAAAGCACAACTACTAGGCTTGTATGGATTATATACTTAATATTAAAGCCATGTACAGATCAGCTGTTCTGTCATTTTTATTTATACGTTTTAGTGGTGATATAAGTTTTAGCTGGTGCTTATTAAAACGATTTTTTTGGCTATTTGTTATATATGGACTAATAGTAGTATAGTAATGTTACTGTTTTTATTTAAACAAAAATATTTCATTGATTACTATTTGACGATTGCGTCCTAACATGGGGTACTTCATATTAACGCCATATTTAAGTCTTACGACGACATATGACGACAATATGACGTGCGATGCTATATGGGTTGTTTAGGTTATTAATATATCGATGGTTATTTGACAAAACATCGTAAGCGACAATTTTGTTGAATTACTTTTTATTTTATCAAAGTGTCAGTTACGATAAGCCGCACATGCTACCATTATAGTTATCCCAATTTTGGAATCTAATATTGGTCAGTTTGAATATTTTAATTATTGTAAGCGCCTCTTCTTTTTAATTTGTTACCGATTTAGAACGTAAGCGCCTATATGTTCCCGACAAATAATCGTAAGCAACTCTCGCCTTGATCTATCAAGGCGTTATTCCCGCTCCAAACAGTTTATTCGTGAGTATACCTGCATCGTGGTGATTGCTACTAAGTTTTAAAATAATATTTTTTTTGATTAAAAGCTTATAATTACTTTATTTCATTGCATTATTAATAGTTATCCTAATTATAATTGTTGTTACCTAGTGTGGTTCGTTAACCCGTAACTGGTGAGGTCACTTTTTTGTTACATAACTGGTGAGGTGGGGTTAACCAAACCCCAAATAAAAACTCTACAGGGGATAGCGAGCCTCGCACCATGATTTAATACGTGGTAAAGATTCTTAGAATGGGTGGAGTTTGTGAAACCCCTCCTCACCAGTTACGGGTTAAAAGTGTTTTTTGTAGTAATTGTAGGATGTTTTAGCGTCAAATAATTTGACTCAAATTTATAACGGTCAAGACCACATTGAATGAATTTTTGTAATAAGTTTCGAAATAAATAATGTATTTTAATTGTTTAATTAGACTCTATGATAAGATAGCTTCATCATTAATGCTGAATTATTAAAAAAAGTGTACCTGAAGATGCAAGTAAATTAAAAAAACTTGCAAAACCGGTCGTACTAATAAATTTGGTTTGAGAGATTGGACTTATATTTTTTTTTCCCCAACTTTTTTGAATTGGTACACCATGCATGGGTTAGATACTGATTTGTGAATAAAAATCGTTTTCAAAGAAAGCTAATGTAGATTTTCATTTTCAAACATTGTTTGGCAAAATATCGTTGGTGATATTTTATAAATTAATTTTTTTGTATTTTTTTTTATTTAATAATAAAAGTAAAAAATAAATGTCGCTAACGATGTTTTGACAAAAGTATTCATCAAATCTATATCCCACAAAGTAACGTAAGTAACTTAAGCGACAAGACTAATTTTTCATTCTACTAAAGATGTTTTTATAAAATATCGTATGCCACAAAATTAAAAGAAAATTTTAGATTGGATTCGATCTAACTTAAATATCTGAATTCTACATTAATAAAATAATGCCTCACCAGTTTTCAGATACATAACTTTAAAAATAAAGTTCCCACACAAAAAAAATCTCTCTTGTAAAATTTAGATTTTGCTGATTCAAGTAATGGTGAATATTCAAAAATTACAAAGATTGAAAAC